TAGGACTAATCAAAACCAGTTATACTGACCTACCAAAATTGATCAATATTGACATTGACTGATTTTTTATCTAACTCTATTTTGTTTTCGAGCCTACCAGATTGGGCTCTAGTTGTTGGTCTGATGGCTCTAACCAGCCACTCCGATCTGGTTTCAATGAGTGGGCATTCGACTTAGCTCATTGCCAATTCCTTTTCTAAATTTTTTAATTTGATTGTATTTGCTTGCTTTTAGGTGGAAGTAGATTTAATTTTCAAATTCTCTGTGTTGGATTCAAGCTAGAGCTTGAGACAAAGATGGAATACGTTTAAGATTTTTCTATGAAATGTTTATCCGATTTTATATTGGACCATTGCTAACTTCATTTAATCAAATAAAATCGATTTTTTAATGGAGTTTTATAGTCTTGGTACAAAATAATTTATTTTTTGAACGTTTGGTTCAAAATGATTTCTCCATAGCAACCTACTCCTTAGTCCTCTCTTCTAAACCTTTTTTGACCTGGACTAACAAATTACATTATTATGAGGATAAGTTTTTCAGTGTTAAAATGAAAAAAAGCTTCTCGCGCAGCAAAAATGTCCCCCATTAGACCCTCGGGTTCGCAGAGATCTCGTGGACCCTCTCTAAAACCCCTCCCCTACTTTTCTTAAAAATCAAAATTCTTGCCTGGACTCCCTCCCTACCATTTTTCTTATTTCTATACTAATTGAGAATCTATAAATTTTTCCTTTTATTTAATTATTCCATTGCCCAAAATGAGAAATTCATGTGCATAGTTATTAGGATTGGATCTGCCACAATTACTCTTGGACATTGGATGTCAAATTGGATGGCTTGAGATGTGTCACGAAGTTTGATTTTTTTTTTTTGAACTTTGTTTGTAGTTAATGTCCCTCTTACAACGATCTGATTTGAAATATGATAGATAAGAGTAATTGTGAGCTCCTTGTACGAAAAGTAAATGATATTTTTATATACTTTTCCATATATTAAAGCCCAATTCAATTTTCAGGTAAGAGTTTTCTTTGCTGGAATTTAACCGGATTTTGTGTTTGTGCTAGAAAACAAAGAAAAGGGGCACCTAATCAATTTGAAAGCCGTGGCTCGAATGTGAAGGTGACTAAACAATTTGAATCTGCCAAGTAGAGAGAGAACCAGAGTATGGATCGTGGAGAAAGAAAGAGAAGTAGAGTCCGATAGATAGATAGATATATAAATAGATAGATAAGAGAGAGAAAGAGAGAGAATGGATTCTTAGAAAGGGGGAGTGAGGTGGGTGAGTGGGACATGTGTACTCACCTCTTGCTCAATATTTTTTACTTTTCAATGGATTTTAAGGGGTTTTAATTTCTTTTTAAAATTGCTTTAGCATTTTTTTTGGCTCACTATAAACAAAAAAATGTTTGAGGAGAGAGATCTAAAAAACCGAGGCTTCTTGTTGGATCGAACCGAGCTTTCATTTAGGCCAACCCAAGCCCACCCCAAAAGTTCTTCCAGGTGACCGGCCCCGGCCCTACACTCACGCCATAGTTGCTTAGGCCTAATGAGATCCTCCAGCCATATTTTGTGGCCCAAGCCCCAGTCTTTTGGGGCCATGGCAATTGGGCCGGGCCTCTCGGGCGATTGCCACCCCTGGTCACGACTTTCGATGGCTTCCCCTCTCTCTCTCTCTACCTAATCTCTCTACTCTCTCCATGTTTAACTAATTATAATCCATCCTTCTTCTCCTATGTCTAAAATCTGGATTGGTTTCAGGAACTACATGTACACCTTATTTGGATTATTGAAGATTGACACCTTATATAACTAGGTAACAATTTTAAAGAAACAAAATATGGAAAACATTTATATAAATTGAAGTAAGGTGCACATAAAAAATCCTATGGTGGACAGTGTTCCAGAATAGGAGAATACTCCAACTAATCATCTCGACCTTGAGATGAAAGGACATGATGAAGAAAAAATAATTTCAAGTCCACAAAATAGTGCATCTTATGACAAGTTATCTGGGCTATCTATTTTCAAGATTTTCAAGTGTTTCTTAATCTGTTTGTTCTGTACTGAAGCTTTCAATTTTATTACTGAAGATAAAAAGAGATTTTGACATCTCTAAGTAAATTTTATAAGTAAATTCTCACTTGCCCACCTTTCTTTTCTAGGCAAATATCTTAGTTTGCCCTTTCTTTCTCACTCTACACTTCTTAGTTTCTACCGCACACTAAAAATCGAATTCAGCCCAACTTGAGTAGAATATATTAGAGCTCAAAAGATAAAATTGTTTTATTTTTTTGGGTTTTGGAGGAAAAAAAGTCATCAGCATGCTCGCCTCTTTAAAACACAAGATATATTTTTTTGGGGGAGAATTTTTGCACAAAAAAGTTAAGAAACATTGGGCAACATTGGCTTTAGCCGGGCCCTTGTCCATAGGGCCGGCCCGGCAAGACCAAAAACAAATGAAAAAGAATTTAAAGAAAAAAAAAGGAAAAAAGAGGACTGGGCTGGGTTGGGCCGGGCCGCACTAGACCAGAACTAATCCTAAATCAGCCCTTAAGCCACAGTTTGTGACCTAGGCCTTGCTGTTTTTAGTGGTGGGCCCAGCCCCATGCCCATTGCCAACCCTTAAAACATGTCCAGTGGACTACTTTTCGTAGGAGAAATATATTCTAGAAATCGGCCTCAATTATTTCATGATATAAAACTTTTATATCAAGAGGGTTTGATGAAAAAATTCTCTGTAAAACCATTTTTAGAAAAGCAAATATCTTGTAATCTATATTTACGGGGAGAAGAGATTAAAAGGAGTTCATTGGAAGTAGGGGTGGCAATACCAACCGGACCCACGACCATACCCGATTCCGAATTCAAGTATGGGTTCAAATTTTGAACCTGAATACTCTTGAAATCTGAGTCCGGGTGGCCGGGACCCGTGAGTCTTTAAGCGCGTGGTAGTGTTCATATTGACAGTATTATATCTTGTAATCTATATTTACGGGGAGAAGAGATTAAAAGGAGTTCATTGGAAGTAGGGGTGGCAATACCAACCGGACCCACGACCATACCCGATTCCGAATTCAAGTATGGGTTCAAATTTTGAACCTGAATACTATTGAAATCTGAGTCCGGGTGGCCGGGACCCGTGAGTCTTTAAGCGCGTGGTAGTGTTCATATTGACAGTATTATTGGGTGAAAAGGAGTTTTAGTGGGTGAGAGGAGAGAGAGCAAATTTAACCCCTAGAAAAGCGACAGGGTGCTGATGTACCAGGTGACGCACTGCGGAGTCGTCACATTGGTGACGTCTCAATCTACGCCCCATTTCATCACATGAATAAGCCAAAATAAAGGGTAATAATTCATAAATAAAATATAAGACGCATATAACGAAACTAAATGCAACCACTACTTTACGTATTTGTCCTGCAGTATTTAATTTTTTAAAATTCATACTTTTTATTTTATATTGAAAAACCTTTCTATGCCGCCCTACTATACAAGACTTAAGTTTGGGCATAGATTTGATGCAGTGCTAAAATAATCTAAAGACATTGCTTTCTTTACATCATAGAAGTTATATCCCATCTTTTATCCGACTGTTAATTATGAATGGAGGGTTAAGATTGTTTCAATTACAATGTCACATCTCTGCATTAAAATTTTTTTTTTATTATAAACTATTTTGACATCACATCCGTTCCTCTATTAAACTCGCACAAGCGAAATAT